CAGGAGCCGATCAATCTACCAACATGTCTTTGAAGTGTGGAAGAAACCCAAAGCACTAAGTTGCTGTGCTGCCCTCACATGATACAGACACAGCTGCCGGACTGCATGGGCTTAGTTTTGCCAAATTTATAAACTGTCATGAGACTTATTTTACCTTCCTTGCTAACTTCTCAGATATTGGGCTGCTATTTTTGTTTTTACCTTCACTCATAGACTTGTACTAGATGATTAAAACTTTGGTTGCATTTTCTGAAAGGGCAAATTAAGGTGAAATTAACAGTAAAAAAATAGTTATAGGTAGACTTCTTATAGAAAGCCTGTTAAGTTTAGCACACTTTCACCTACCCAGTTCCACTTCACCATTCTTTTTTATAGGTCTGATATGGCCCGCTAAAGGTGCAACATGAATGCAGGAAGTTTTAGGAAAATGCAAAGTGAAATATGTGAAGTTTGTCTAAAATGTAAAGAGAAACATTATTAAATATAAGAACATTAAAGTATATTTTAGGAAAAATCCCATTCAGTACTACAGTATGTGGCTAGCTCATGTCTATGCTGTGCAGCTTTGTGTGTAAAAAAAAAAAAAAGCATTTCTGTGCATTATGCATGTAAATCATGCCCACTACACTAAAATTAATTTAGCATATTCCTGTTATGGGAAAGCTAAAATCCTAAATTCGTGTCCTTCCATCTTGCCTAATGCTGGAAAAAACTACACATTTATATACCTGAACAAACATGTGCTGTGAGATTTGGCCACCTGTGGGGAGATGCCTATCCTTTACTTTTCTACAGAGGGATCCCAAGTGGCTTGCATGTGCCACTCTTGCCATCAGACAGATATTGCAGCAGGTCCTGGTACTTGTTAGAGTCATATGAAGGTGGAAACATATGTACCCACCATTGCTCTTGAGGAGTTATTTCCCGTCTATGATCAGCCTAGATATTTGATAGTGGAAAAGGTATAAATTAATCAAACAGTATAATAATCATTACCTGTGATTCTTGGTATACCGACAATAATATTGCCATATTAAGATGACCTGTCAGTTGAGACATCCATTATATTAACAATAATGGTAGATTTCTGTTTTTATTTTTTTCCTTTTGGAATGTGGTTAGCATTTTAATAGCTATTTCCGCAGACTAGGTCAATAAAACATATTCATATTTACAACTTCTTGGGAACAGCACTGGTAAATGCTTCATAGTTCAGGATTGTTATAAACCCACATGAACAATTCCACCTCCACATGGGTAATCCACAACGATGCGAGGATTATAATTTGGTTGCAAACTATGCTGGTCTTGTACTTTGGATGATGAGAGAAATTTTACCTGTACAATTGCTAGGTGTTGTAGGCCTGGAACCCAGATCTTGCACCTACGAAGTACAAGAGTTCTTCTTGCAGCCTCTGTACAGAATTACAAATATACATGAATTTAATGGCTTGGAGGGGTTATGCTGCCACATGCCCTCACATGAAAATTAAGAGATCTCTGCAAAACTCCAAGCACAGGTTCACTTTTTTTGATAGCTCCACATGGTAACAAAGTACATGCCTTTTACTTTTGCTGTACCAATATTCCAAATACTATTGGCATCATATAAACACATATGAGAAACTACTCAAAGTGAACTGCATGGATAGGCTCTGCTTTCAATGTAGCTCATATGGTAAATAAAATTAGGATAAACTGTCCAAGTAGTGTTTATTTCATGATCTCAGAAGATCCCTCTTTTACCTGACATTCACATTCACTAACAGATATTTTTTTAAATACCTCAATAGGCTGGTCATTGAACACCGGTCTTATTCCTGGTCTAACAACTGAGGCTAGTGTGGTTTACATTTTGCTGCAAGCACTATTTTTGCAGATCGCACTGGACCGGAATGCAGGCACATATTTCAAATGTTAGGGCAGATTCAACAGCACACAACATATTGTAGCTTCACTATTAGGTACTTGTTATTGTAGAATTTAAAATAGAATGTATCTGGAGTAAAAAAGCACACAAGACATTTCCAGAAACATATCAGTTCATCCTTTAATATACCACAAAGCTCTCTTACTTTTGTATGCAACATTTATGGATGGGTAATATGTCTACTTAAAGCATACTTTTGAATTCTGCTTGGATTGTAAAAGACATATACCGATCAACCATAACACTATGACCAAATACCTAATATTGAGTAGGTCCCCTTGTGTCTCAAAACAACGACCCTGAACCATTGAAACAAGGACTCTTCTAGACCTCTGAAGGTATGCTGTGGTATCTGGCACCAAGCCATCTGTAGCAGATCCTTTAAAGTAGAATTAAAGTCTCCTTTTTTACATATATCTCCTGCTAGCAAGCTCCCGGCTGTAGATCTGAAGCTTTCTGAGAAGCTGCGCAGGAGGATGAGAGCGGGCGCATGCGCAGTATAGATCATCGGCAGGTAGAAGAGGAGAGACACATTGGAGTTGATTGCACGCAGCTGTCAGCGTGCATGTTGGAGAGACATGGGACACAGAAGACACAGCAGTCAGTGCTCGATCAGAGACCGGCAACAGCGCTGGAGGGATTGCTGAATACAAGTGGATGGAAGAAGATGATCGGATCAAGAAGCATCATTTAAGGTAAGTCCCTAACCACCTGCTGTCCGGCCATCGTAATTAAACGGCTGGACAGCAGCTTATTGGATGTTTTTAAACGTCCTTTCCCGCTCCACTAGTGCCCGCTGCCTAGCGGAAAATATGCTTGAAATGTAAACAGCCAGCGATGGCTGTTTACATACAAGCGTTTTGGTGTCTGTAGAGACACCCAATCGCTTGTAATATGCATGCAGGTGTGCAGCCCCCCTCCGTCGCAGTCACCGCTGGCGATCCCGAGCTCCGCTGTGCCTGGTGTAGGCCTGGGACCAGCACAAAGGCTCTGTGACCGGAGATCAAAGAGGGATCAGTACATGTTCTCCCTCTGACCTCCTCCCCATTGTCGGAATGCAGGAAGTGATGTATATTACATCACTTTCGCATTCATCTGTCACTCTCCAGCTACAGAAGCCAGAGAGAAGCTGGTGAAGTATGTCATCAGCTTTTCAGGGGGTCCCTAGGGGACATTAGGGGTCTTAAAAGCCCCTGATGTCTTCATAAAGAAGACCTGTCACAGTAAATTGGCTATCACATAGGGGGCTTGTTATTCCCTTATATGATAGCAATAAAGTTAGGTGAAAAAAAGGTTAAAAAAAATTAAAGCTACAAAAAAAATATTAAAAAGTCACATATAAAACAATAAAAAACCCACAAAAAAAGTTAACGTCCCCTGCCCCAACATACACATGCAAACATGCGTTGGGTGCGCCTATTTGTGAAAACGACGATTGTGCTCATTACGCCACACATGTTACACATCACCGTGAACGTTGGCGTGCGAGTAAAAATTCTAGGGCCATCAATCGATGATAACACTAAACTGATGATCAGTATCAGCTTTTAAAGTGTCACCTATTCACGGGCACATGCAATTTTAAAGCTTGACATGTTTGGTTTCTATTTACCCGATGTGACCACGTCTTTTATATTTTACCCAAATTTTGTGTAATAATAAATGTTTCATAACATAACGTAAGGGAAAGTTTTTTTTCAACTTTTTCAGTATGTTTTTTGCTATATAGTAAAAAATTAAAACCTTAGTGGTGATTAAATACCACCAAAAGAAACTGTTTTCTGTACAGTGTCGCAGGACAGAATAAATGTCAGTCAAAGTACCGCAACGCTGAATACTGAAAAATGGCCTGGACAGCAAGGGGATTGAAGGCCGAATCAACACCTCATACTCGTTCTTCTGTTCCTCAAACCATTGGGCCACCTCTCAGTGATCATAATTTTATGGCTGATCTGTGTATGCTTGCCATCAGTGCATGTGCCATCATGCTTTAAAAACTTGACTTCACTGGTCCATGAGTTAGTACCTATGAAAATGTTAAATCTGAGAGTAATACTTTATTTTGTACATAGGGCTTGTTCGCTTGCACTGGAGGTCCCCTTGTGCATAACACCAACAGACACACACCAAAGAAGTGAATTCTATACGTAGAGCAGTGAAGGCCCTGTAGACTCCTGTTCATCAAATTCCTCCTGTAGTCAGTAAACACAAAAGTATTAAGTCAAGAGCATTTGCGGGTACATTCTTGGAAATGTTAGGCCAGATGTCCTTATTTCATCATTATTATTATTATCATCTGTACCACATCTGTCCAGGCCCTTGATTTCCAATATTACCAAAAATAATTAACACCCAAAAAAGTAGATCAAATGATTTTAGCTGCCATTA